AGCAACTATGTTTGTCATGTGTGCTGTATGCGGGCAAATAGACAGACAGTGCAGGACTTATCACGATACTTGCAGGAATTAGGTTCGGACAACAATGCAGTAGCCCCTTATATTCAAGTGGTTAGCCCACCAGAGCCACCACCATTACCACCTGTTTTAAGCAGGCCGCTTCAAATGGAAAGTACTACCATATTATTACCCAATTATACAGAACATATATTAAAGAAACGTACATTCCATACACAAACATAATAAAATACACTTTATAATAAAAATATAAAAGTGAATTATTACGTAGTTTTATTTTATTTATTCTCCTTAATAAATAAATCATTATTCTTTATACATATTATTTTGTTTTATTTTATAAATCAATAAAAAAATAATTAAAACGCCATGGTTTTTAAAAGCAAAATCTTATTTCGTGCACTTATGGCCAGTAATCTGACTAAAGGTTTAGTGAAACTATTTTCGTCTTGTTTGTTATAATTACGAGTTCTTCATGTGTTTTATTTTTTGCAATTTAATTTAATAATATTCACGAATGTAAACACCAAAAATCATTGATGTACATTGAATTCAATAACTATGCAAACGCCCATACAAAAGTTGGCCATGTCCTTTCATAGAAAAGTATCGTTTTTGACATTTGGATAAAATTATTGAATTTGACTAGTTAGAAACTACCGTATTGTTTAGCGTTTAGCAAAACAATAACAAAATTTAAACAATGACACAAAGCAGGATTCACGTGATGCAGTATTAATTAATCTTTACCCACTTTCATATTTATGTATAACTGACAATCAATTTAATAGAGTGCATTGTCAATTGTCTGGCCGAGATCGCTTGATCTCGATAATCGTGAAATCCATCAGAACAGTAACCAATTTCAGTGTAGCTTAAACTATTCTATGAAATTGAGAACAGTGTTTTATAATGGTTGTGTGATTTGAATAAAGATACTTATTTATTTTTTTTTATGTTCCTGTGGCAATAAAATGACTGGGTATTTGACAATATGTTAAATACTTTCAATAACTCAATATTTTTTTAAGAGTGTAAATTTAGATATTTACGAGATTTATTCTAATCTGTAAGTAAGTAATTTTGAAGTTAACAAAGTGAAATTGAAGCTACAAAGCTAAAATAAAAAAGTACAAAATAAATATCCATTATATCGCAAAATCAATTAATTAAAACGTACGAGTAATTCTTTTTATTACCCTTTTTGAATAGAAACTATCGTGAGACTTAGATACTAAAATTGAAAATAACGATTAACTAAATTACGTAAATAGACATACTAATTTTAAGTTAATTGTTTACTGCATTGAGCTAATGAAATAATTATTTGTTTCTAAGTCCTACGCAATTTTGGTAATAGTACATCACCGACGTGAACATAATAATATCATTTATAATGCGTGCGTTCTTCAACCTCGTCTGACCCACGTGACGTAATATACTAGGTAAGATACCGAATTTGTAAGATAATTGCACTATAAATACTTTTAATTACTTACCATTTTTATTACATAATTAAACTTGACAATTTAAAAACATTAAGCGTAGAATTCGGCAGTATTTTCGCACAGAAGCTCTCTTACTAAAAACTTTTTTCTTGAAGGCGGTGATTTCGCTGGTTTTATCGCAACCTGTGTGGGGCGAAATTGTCAGATTGTTACTGACCTCGAGCAGGAGCGTGGAAATCATTGCGCCTGCACCCCCAACCACAGTTCTGTTGGACATCGGCCCTAGTGGTCCTATCTCTAACAGTCTCATGGCTCTTTGAGGAGCGAAGTGGAATACGTCGCGGCGTGCTCTTGAAATATTTGAGCTACTTTTGCTCGCCGTTCATAGGCCCGGACTAACTCAACATGACTTTTTTGTCGAAGAAGTAAACGGCTTTCCAGTTCCTCACGTCCCAAGAGGTCGCCACTGCCCTTACAGATAACCTTGATAGTTGGGATCCGATAGTTCCCAACAAATAAAATTCAATACTTTAATGGAAACATATTTTGTATATATTTACTTAATAAATTCATATTTACGATAGTTTAAAATAAAAAAAAAATATGATTATATTTAAATAATTAATAGAATTGGGTTAGGTTAAAACCAAACTGCCCAATTTTCTCTTGCCCATTTTATTTTAAAACCGCATTAGCATTTTCATCGTTCATCTTTGGCATTACAATACTTATACTAGAATTCATAAACAGACGCACACTCTATATGGGTGGGAGCGACGACCTCAAAACTGTGGGCAACCTATCTTCACTCTTGAAGAAAACCCTAGTGGTGAAAATTTTAGATTAATTATTATAAGCCTCAATATTACTTAGTAAACTCAATGTAAAATTTTGATATACTAAAATCATAGTTGCTACCTTTTTGCTTACTAATTGATGCCAATCTAGCAATAGGTCAGTTTGGCCACCCACTCTAACTGAAAAAATAAGAAAGGACCACACTAACGCCACCTTTACTGGCGCCCAAAAAAAAAATATCCCCATTGCGTGGCTATAGATTTTAATTCGTTTCTATTATGCCATTTCAATACAGATTCATCATCATCACCAGCCTATAAGTGCCCACTGCTGAGCAAAGGCCTCTTCTCATACGGAGAAGGTTAGAGCATTAATCACCACGCTTGCTCTATGCGGGTTGGCGATTTCAAACTTATAATTAAAAATTATAAGTCCAGGTTTCCTTACGATGTTTACCTTCACCGTATGGCAGTGGTGTCTAAATAATCATAGAAAGTACATATAACTCGGAAAAAGTCACAATGGTACTTGCCAGGTTCCGAACCCACACCCTCACGCATGAGAAGCGGGCTCCTTAACCTCCGGGCCACCACGACAGATACAGATACAGATAATACAGATTGTATTAAAAAACTATATAAAACTGCTATAATGCAGCGGCAACAGTTTGCCCTCTTCCATCTCACCCAGAGCGGGAGAAGTCACTTGAAGCTAATCCCTCCCCCCCCCCCATAAAAAGTGAATGCAAAGTACCGGTGTTGCCATTGCATTCATTGCTTATTTTGGGCTGCACCTCATTGGCAGCGCTGTTGCATGGCGAGTTTGAAATCATATGTTTAGTGTAATAGCCCTTTCGTATGGGTCATGTCAAGTAAAAAAAGAACGCTGACGGTGACGTTGCACATTAAATTGTTTTTTATAATATTCTATCTAAGTTATTATGAGAAAAAAACAATATTTGTTGAACTAGAAAATAAGAAGCCTTGATCCTATTCTCTATAATAAACACGTCACGTCCATCTTTCTGTCTCGACTTTATTCCGAAAATTTTGATAACGAGTCGGATCTTTCTCAAATATAGTGAATCAAATCTACTCCTACTTAGCTCCTTAGTTACTTTCAACTATACATATGTCACTTAGCAGTTTGTTAACAAACGCCAGTAAATAAATAGCTACACAAACAACGACTTATGTGACAATAATTTCTCAAGTAAGTACAATAACCTTGGGGACAGACTCCGTTCAAATTCTACAAACGTGGTAGCTTAAACGCTTAGAGTAAGTTTGTTTGGTTAAGACCTATTACTTAATCGTTTAAGCCCTACATTCGAGGTGGCCTGTTACTTCTCATTATATGAAGCCATCAGCCATTTCATTTTCAACTTTATTCCCAATTTATTAGGTAGAAGATATCTTAAAACTAGCTTGGGGTAGTTTGATGTGCGGTTATCTTGTACAACGTCAACCTGCGGGTCAACTAGAGGTCAATCTATGTATAAACTACTTAATCAGAACGTACGAAGACTTAAGTTCAACAAGTTTAAGTGTGGAAAAGCCATGCTATGGCAAGAATGGGTTGACTCGACCGGAGTGATACTAGAGCCTCACAGAACACCGTCATGAAACAACCGCAGCGTTTTGTTTCGCCGTGTAAGTGAGGCTACCGGAGGCCCAATACATCCTCTCCCCCAATCTCTGAATCTCTTATCCCTTATCCTCAAAAGGTCGGCAACTCGTTACTCCTCTGTTGTTGCAGGTCACAAAGGACCAATCCTTCTCCTAGATCTGTAAATTGTAGAATCTTATAGCTGATTTTAACAGTCCACTCAAGAAGTTCTTGGGCTTAAATTGGATTAACTTACAAGCTTTAAAATATTATATACCTAAACACCAACTTTCTACTATATCAACGTAATTACACGCGTTATTTAAGTTGTAATGTGTGTATGTTTGCGAAGTATAATCCTGCAACTAAATGTTGAAGTAGATACCTATCTTCAAAGGATTTAGCTGAAATTTTGTATACACATTTAGTTCACATTACCATAAATGCAAAACTTAGAGTAAAATGTATGATTTATGAAGAACTATTCTTCGGCACGAATAGGTCAGCTCGACCAGACTGATACCACGGCCTTGTATAAGTGAGGATATCGGAGGTACCTACAATTCTCAAATCCGTACTTTTACAAGGAACTGGCAATGCACTTGTAACTCCTTGGTAATGCTATACCTACATACCTACCATCAGGAGATAAGTCTGTTCGTTCTATAAAAAACGCGTTTTTATATAATAGGTTGGCAAACAAGCAGCCTTACCTGATGGTAAGCAATCAGCGCCGCCCATGGGGGTGTCCATGGGCGGCGCTGATCGACGCTGCGCAACGGAGGAGTTACCGTGCGTTGTCGACCTTTTAGGGATTAGGGTTTTGAAGGTTTAGGGTTTGGGGAGGGGAAGGATTGGGCCTCACTCACACAGCGAAACAACGCTGGGGTCGTTTCATGCCTGTTTTCTGTGAGGCCGTGGTATGACTCCGGTTGAGCCGACCTATTCGTGTCGAAGCATAGCTCTCCCACGCCTCTAAAATTTTTAGTCTCAGAATTTATTGAGACATCTTATATAAGTTTATTTTAAACAAGCATTTCAATCTAACTTTATTACTACCGCAGTTGACATTTGCAAGTTTTTTATGAGGGCGTTTAAAATACTGTTGTTTTTTTTCAGGTACCGTGTAATATGAGCCATGATACCTCACGTGGATGGATATAAAGCAGATCAGGAAGAGGACCACATACCATTCGCTATTGAAAACGCTAAAAGTAAGTACTATCATTTGTAGTAGTGCTATACATATGTAGTATAAAACAGAGTCTCTTTCTCTGTACCTATATCCCTATGTGTGCTTAGATCTTGAAAACTGTTAGGGTGGTAAACCTAGCGACGAATGCGCACCGTAATGTTGCTATGACATGCGCGTGTGCGTACCGCGCGTTCCCGCCTATTTTTAAAAAATAAATTAGTGTGCCACAGATTAGCGAGTTTGATTGAGGTATTACATCGTTCCCGTTTCCCGCGCAAATACATTATAAAAACTATATTAGTTGCGGATTCTTTTATTGTTTTTATGCTGTTTTTTAATAATATTAATGTGATTGACGCGGAAGGCTTTAATTGATGTCATGTATAATGACATCAATTAAAGCGAAAAAATTTAGTATCAACATTGCACCCGTTCGAAACGATATGTCCTTTCTCGAGTTCCAAAGTATGTCAGTGCCAAATTTCACACAAATAGGTTCTGTACTTTAGGCGTGAAGAAAAGACAGATAGCCAGGGTTACTTTCGCATTTATAATATAAGTTTGGATATGTATCTGTTTCGAGTTACATAAAAGGATTCCAGTATTTAAAATCATATGATGAAGTTACAATATTTACATCGTGTAAAAACGTAAGGCAGCTGATTTATATGCTTATAAATTCGTAACGTTGATACAAAGGTTATAAAAGGTTATATGGATAATAGGCACTTGCAAGTTGAGGATAGTGTGAAATTTCGAAACCTGAAGTTCCAAGAGCGAGAGAAATCATAATACGACGAGTTTAAAACATACAAGAAAAAACAACAGTCTTTGTTATATTCGTTTGTAAACTTGTGTGTGTTCATTTTTATAAACTTGTACTTCTAATTAAAGTTTTATATTGTTGTACAACTTCACAATACTTTGTAGTGAAATGGATTTAAGGCGAGTCCTTCTTATTTCATTGTATGTTTGGTCTTACATAAGTATGTAAATTATTATAGGTCGGTCTGTAAGCAATTACGCCTTTGGAATCTCATCATAATCAACATTTTGGAATCGGGGAAAAATACTACAATATTATTGCTGTGTTGTCGCTGTTTTATCAGTTTTTAGTGGTCTATGAATTCGCTTTATCTTCTTCCACTCGATTTCTCCCGCTGCTTGACTCCTATAGATCGTAGTTTTATGTTTTATAGCTTATAGTCTTCATCGATAAATGGACTATCCAAAAAATATGCTCAATTCAAACCAATAATTTCAAAGATTAAACGTTTGTTAACTAACAAACAAATTGTACAGATTTATAGTATTATACACGGAATAGAAAATACAGTGGAAGTGCCCCTCAGACATCGCGCGCTAACCAACATGATGACTAGATATACAACATTTTGGCACATTTGTTGTCAGAATCGTTCGATCCGTTGTCATGATTGGTTGTCATGGTTGTCTCTAAGTAACACGAAATATATTAGAAATTATGCCTTGTTGTGCGGTTTTTAACTGCAAAAAAGTAAGCAGAAAAAAAGATGAGTCTTGTGGTGGTGTATCGAATCATCTTTGAGTATTAACCTTTGTTAATTTTAAATATATTAGATTTGAATGTAAATATCACATTTCATTACTTCAATGCAAACTATAAAGGGCCTTATTTTCATTACAATTAAGTTTAAATCTACTTGTTCGTTATGTGACGTTATATACAATACATTCTAGTAGTTTCGACGCTACTCATTTAGGGATGCGACATATTCGTAAAATAGGTTCATATCGATAATTTTTCATCATCATCGTTCAGAAAATTGATTTTTGTCAATTTTTGTGTATAATTCATAAATGTTTAACTAAGATTGCATAGACACATCAACGTTTTAACCACACACAGCGTGCATCCGTCTGTAGCAGGTGCCGGTTAAGGTTAATCACCATTTTTATTTTATAACTAGTTTTCGCCAGCGGCTTCGCCCGCGTGCTGTGTTGATAAAAAGCAGCAAATAGCAAGAGAACAAAATCTAAGTATACATAAAATTTGGTATTTATCGTCTCATTTTTATACATCTCCAATGGGTAAATACCCTATTACTTACTAAGTCTCCGCAGTCCGTCCGTCAATAGATAGAAAGGTACGGATCTAAATAATAGGTAAGAGTTACAAATATTTGATAAAACCTATATTATATTATATTTTATACCGCATCGTGTCGAGCACGGGAACCGCTACACAAAAATAATTCTTATACCATGATTCAGTGTTCACTTGCGACGGCGCTATGTCTTATTATCCGAATTGCTAAGCTATCAGGAGTTACACGTGCTATTGTGAGTTAATCATAAAAGATAGATATATGCTGTATAATTTTTTTTTTGACAATTTTATTTAAAATATTTCCGTCATACATAATTTCTATGTAAGTTTCAGTCGCGTGTGTAACCTTAATGTAACCTTAATGTAACCATTAAGGTTACACACGCGACTGAAACTTACAAAAGGGAGTAACTTCTCCCGTTTTCCCAACATTTTCCTTCACTGCTCTGCTCCTATTATTTGTAGCGTGATGAAAAGTATCCTATAACCTGCCCAGGAGTATAAAGAATAATTGTACCAAGTTTTGTTAAACTCCGTCGAGTAATTTTTGTTTCTATAAAGAACATTCAGACAGACAGACAGACAGACAGACAGACAGACAGACAGACAAAATTTTTACTGATTGCATTTTTGGCATCAGTATCGATCACTAATCACCCCCTGGTAGTTATTTTGAAAATATATTTAATGTACAGAATTGACCCCTCTACAGATTTATTATAAGTATAAATGTTGTCAGAGTTCCAAAAAGGAGAGTGACTCTCAATTCGACTGTAACAATTTTTTTGTTTTTTTCGTCTCCGTTATTTATGAACCGATTTTAATGATTCTATTTTAGGAAAGGAGATAAAACTGGTAGGAGCGCGTAGTGCTTTTATATGTTAAAATCGAAATCTTTAATAATAACTTGACCATCTCCAAAAAACATTAAATCTTCAAAAAATATGTTAATATTTTCTTTTTTTTATTAGAACCTTTTTCATTACTGATCATTTGTAGGTATATCGTGTCGATAAATTATATTGCTCACACGAATACAAAAACATCGATATATTGGGATACCCTGCCCTATCTGAGTAGCAAAATAGTAAATGTCTATTGGTACAAGTGCATACAAATATGACATCTATTTCAAAGAAGTTAGCGTTTTGAATAGAATGAATTTGTTACAGCGCCATCTAGCGTTGAGTGGCTGAACCCGTTTGTAAATTGTTTTATTTAAGTTTTTTACACGATAGGCGCCTTTATTGATTGTGACATGTGAAATGATAACAACTTTCGCTCATTGTTATAAGACTCAATTTTTAACAACATTTAGAAGATGATTTGCTAAAGTTGCGTTTCATGTTTTTACCCAATTATATAGCTGTTTTTTATGTGTGTAATGGACAATTTGACTTGCGAATGTGTGATTTTGGCGACACTGGTTTTCCTTTTGAAAGAGTGTAGGGGCACTTCTACTTAATTTTCTGTTCTGTGGTATTATATATACTGTAAATTATGTACAAAATGTAAATTCAAATGAACGGAGTGAAATTTAGAAAGACAACAAACATGGCGGTCCTTCTGTCAAAATCAAGCATCCTGTCAAACGCAACTGTCATGGCGGGCTAAAACAAGGGTAGCCATTACATTTTTAAATAAAATAAATATTTTTTACCTTTATCATGGGGCATGGGTGCATTTTCAAACATAAAACTTTTCGTACAAATCATTCCTAGACCCGGAACAACGAATTGTACTCAAATCTTTCTCTTTGGACATTTCTACCCTTCTCCTAATGGTTTGTTGTGTATTTTTATGACGTAAATGTAAAACAAAAAACTGGCTTAATATAATTTTAAATAAAAAGAGGGAAGTATTATTCGAAATAAAAAAAGCAAAATTCACGATTTTATCTGTCTATACCGCTTAATATTTACTCTAATTCCCGTCTTATACGAGTACTGACTGTACATTAATACATACATACATATATAGGTAGGGCGTGAAATTAGAGTCTTTTCATTGATACCCATTTTTGTAGGAGGCAAATTTGTGTGCTTAGGCAGAAATAAACCGACGCGCCCGGAGTAATACGTGTTCCGCCTTGTAAGTGACATTACGAAAGGCTCAATTCTTCACCAAATCGCTCATCTTCAAATGCCTTATAACATTACCCACAAGTGTCCATGGGCGGCATGGCCTATCAACCATATAAACCCATAAAAAGCTTACTTGATGAAATTAAGAAAACAGACCACCACACCAAGCGCAAAGTGGACCGCGGCCTCGGCCTAGAGCAGGAGAAACAACGGACGGGTTTTTAGTCAGTAAGAGTCTGACACCACCCACCCGACCCTGGGCGGAGAAAACCATCTGAAGATTCTAATCTCACAAAAAAAATACCATATCATACTACTAAGAAATCTTATATTCGATATATTATGCAAATATCAACCTATCAATAACAAAACAACAAAAATATATACCGTTCGAATGATTTGTTGGCTTTCAAGCTTTAATTCAAGTGCGTGGCTGTATGAAATAGACCTCGACACTCCCCACAGATAACAAATTGTTTTCAATTTATCCGCTATGTTCTAGGGACTTAGAATAAAACCTTCAGTGATGGATAGATCCCATTTTATTTTATCACTAGACTGAGATATTTCAATGAACGAAGTTAGAAAAAAGTACGAACTTTTATTATTCAAAATTTCTAATCTTGGTTTTGTGAATCACTGTATACTGCCTCTGGTTTTCGAGTTTCTATCAGTATATTTTTAAGTGATTAGATTTTTTTGAATTTGCACTAGACTAAGATATTTTCATGTGTCGTGGGTGAGTTTACAAACATACTCAAGTTACCTAGACCACAAAAAAAAACAAGCAAAAAATAATAGTCCAAGGAAAGGGGGTTTAGTCATGTAGTTTAGGCGATAGAACTC